ACAATTATTACAAGAATTGGTTAGAAAAACTGTCTCACCTTTTCAGTGATTTATTTAATGCTTAATAATGTTAGTTAAGCGCTAAATATTACCTATCAAACTCATTGAACGTTATATATGAACATTATTAACTGTCTTCATGATTTTGATAGGTAAATTATTGAACAGTTGATATCAAACCTATTTTTTTAAGAATTTCGTTTTAAATCTAATTATTTCTTCTTATTTTCCGTATGTGAATTTCGGTCAACTTGGGTTCCGCGATTGTCAATTTAATGTATTTGTACTACTATTAGTGCTTCAATACATAAATTAAGTGGAAAAGCTTTATAATCTGTTTTAAACCTTTCTGCGCATTGTTTGATATGTTATCCTTAACTGATATAAACAATTTATATCACAATGATTCCTTTTAAGAAATTGCATCAACTTTCAGCCGATTTAGTTATTTACCATATCGCTAAAGGCAAAGTAGAATAATAGTTAATTAAGCGCTAAACAATTTGCCTATCAAAGTTATAGATAGTTTAGATTATGTTCAATTTGAATTAATATTAACGTAATGTTTTGAGGACGTGTAGAAAAATTAATTTATTTCTTTATTTTCTAATAGTGAATTTCGGCCTAATTCAGCGAATTTATAGTATTTGCAAACGGCTCAGGCCAAGTAGAAATTAGTAATTATTGTGCAAAATACTTCTATCAAAGTTATGATTCAGTTTAAACAATGTTTCAAATAATCAAAACTATGTTTAAGCATCTTTTGAATCTAATCAGTTCTTCTTTCTTATGGTGCACTGTTAGTATTTTCTGTAACATGTTGATTGGGCGAATTCCTTTCATTGAATGTTTTCCCTTTTTTTTTTTTGTTTTTTGATTTAGACAAATATTAAATATATTACTATAAAGAATTCGGTGTTGAGTCACACTTTTGAACTTTATATGTAACAATTAAAAGGAATATATTATTTATCTGGCAAAATTATCAATTAGTCATTAAATTTAAGAATCACTATTGTTAGTTTTGTACGTTATTTGATATGAATACTGTTTCTTTTTAAATATTAATTCCATTAACATTTTTATTTGTAGATTTTCCTTTGATGATATGTCTGCTATGTAAACATGATATTTTAATTCTGTTTAAAACAGTTTATCCTCACACTATAATATCAATATTTGTTAATTTGAATTACATTCTAGAATAATTACTAAAGCAATGTGACATTGTCTTTAAGTTTGTTTTGAAAATGTATTGTAAATGTATTACAATGTACTTCACACTATGTATTGATTATGAAAATCTGCATCAACCTTTTCAGCCGAATTATAAGTATATAGCATATCGATTCAGGTAAAGTAAAAAAAATTGTAATTATGTGTTTCAAGTCAATGAACTGTTGTGAAAAAGGTCACTTTAGATTGTCTTTACCAGATGACGAAAAATAATAGAACAATATTGCAAGTAAATGGTTAGAAAACTGCATCAACCTTTTCAGATGATTTATTTAATGCATCAAAATACTGTTAAGTACGGTGTTAAGAATATTTGCCAATCAGACATATAATACAATTTATTAATAGTGAAGTTGAATAATCCAAGCATGATTTCTAAGAATTGTTTGAAATCTAATCATTTCTTTAATTTCTATAGTGATATTTCGGCATCAACCGAATTATAAATATTTACCATATCGCTTCAGGCAAATTAGAGAAATTGTGATGAATGTGCTAAAATATCCGCCTATATAAATTATATACAGTTAAACAATGTTCAAAGTAAATCTAAACATAATTTTTAAGAATCGTTGGAAATCTAACCATTTCTCATCTTTCTACGGTGAAATTTCAGCATCAACCTTTTCAGCCGAATTTATTTAGTATTTATTTAGTATATCACTTAAGGCAAAAGTAGAAAATTAGTAATTATTGTGTTAAAAATATTTGTCTATCAAATTTATGATACAGTTAAATAATGTTTAAGTTGAATAATCTAAACATACTGTTTAATAATCACTTAAAATATAGTCATTTTTTTTCTTTCTTGAGAGGTATTTCGGCATCAACCTTTTCAGCCGATTTGTCAGAATATAATATATTTTGTACCGAAATAAGCTGCTTCAATCATACCTTGAATGGAAAAGGGCTTTATAATTTGTTAAAATCTTAACTTCAGGTAAGACTAACTGTTGAATGAATTCAAATATATTCATCATCTCTCTTTCCTTGTTAAGAAAATCTGCATCAACCTTTTCAGCCGAATTATAAGTATATAGCATATCGATTCAGGTAAAGTAAAAAAATTGTAATTATGTGTTTCAAGTCAATTGAACTGTTGTGAAAAAGGTCACTTTAGATTGTCTTTACCAGATGACGAAAAATAATAGAACAATATTGCAAGTAATGGTTAAAAAACTGCATCAACCTTTTCAGATGATTTATTAATGCATCAAATAATGTTAAGTAAGGTGTTAAGAATATTTGCCAATCAGAGATATAATACAATTTATTAATGGTGAAGTTGAATAATCCAAGCATGATTTCTAAGAATTGTTTGAAATCTAATCATTTCTTTAATTTCTATAGTGATATTTCGGCATCAACCTTTTCAGCCGAATTATAGATATTTACCATATCGCTTCAGGCAAATTAGAGAAATTGTGATGAATGTGCTAAAATATTCGCCTATATAAATTATATACAGTTAAACAATGTTCAAAGTAAATCTAAACATAATTTTTAAGAATCGTTGGAAATCTAACCATTTCTCATCTTTCTACGGTGAAATTTCAGCATCAACCTTTTCAGCCGAATTTATTTAGTATATCACTCAAGGCAAAGTAGAAAAATAGTAATTATTGTGTTAAAAATATTTGTCTATCAAATTTATGATACAGTTAAATAATGTTTAAGTTGAATAATCTAAACATACTGTTTAATAATCATTTAAAATATAGTCATTTTTTTCTTTCTTTAGAGGAATTTCGGCATCAACCTTTTCAGCCGATTTGTCAGAATATAATATATTTTGTACCGAAATAAGCTGCTTCAATCATACCTTGAATGGAAAAGGGCTTTATAATTTGTTAAAATCTTAACTTCAGGTAAGACTAACTGTTGAATGAATTGAGATATGTTCATCATCTCACTTTTCTTGTTGAGAAAATCTGCATCAACCTTTTCAGCCGAATTATAAGTATATAGCATATCGATTCAGGTAAAAGTAAAGAAATTGTAATTATGTTTTTCAAGTCAATTGAACAGTTGTGAAAAAGGTCACTTTAGATTGTCTTTACCAGATGACGAAAAATAATAGAACAATATTGCAAGTAATGGTTTAGAAAAACTGCATCAACCTTTTCAGATGATTTATTAATGCATCAAATAATGTTAAGTAAGGTTTTAAGAATATTTGCCAATCAGAGATATAATTTACAATTTATTAATGGTGAAAGTTGAATAATCCAAGCATGATTTCTAAGAATTGTTTGAAATCTAATTATTTCTTTAATTTCTATAGTGATATTTCGGCATCAACCTTTTCAGCCGAATTATAAATATTTAACCATATCGCTTCAGGCAAATTAGAGAAATTGTGATGAATGTGCTAAAATATTCGCCTATATAAATTATATACAGTTAAACAATGTTCAAAGTAAATCTAAACATAATTTTTAAGAATCGTTGGAAATCTAACCATTTCTCATCTTTCTACGGTGAAATTTCAGCATCAACCTTTTCAGCCGAATTTATTTAGTATTTATTTAGTATATCACTCAAGGCAAAGTAGAAAATTAGTAATTATTGTGTTAAAAATATTTGTCTATCAAATTTATGATACAGTTAAATAATGTTTAAGTTGAATAATCTAAACATACTGTTTAATAATCACTTAAAATATAGTCATTTTTTTTCTTTCTTTAGAGGAATTTCGGCATCAACCTTTTCAGCCGATTTGTCAGAATATAATATATTTTGTACCGAAATTAGCTGCTTCAATCATACATTTAATGGAAAAGGGCTTAATAATCTGATTAATTATGATCATTGTTCATATATACTCAGGTAAGGCAAACTTCACTGTGAATAAACACATTTTTATGATTCCTGTTGTGAAAATCTGCATCAACCTTTTCAGCCGAATTAATTAGTAAATAGCGTATCGCTTCGAAAAGAAGAGAATTTAAACTTGTATGTGTTAAGTCATTTTTAAATGTAAGTCATTTATATGTTCAATTGACACTCACGTTAGAACAGATATGAAAATTTTTCTACATTTTGTAAATTACCCTGAGAAATTGTACTCGAGTTTTTACTTTAATATCTAGATCTACTGCATAAAAGTTTTCTGAGTTAGGTGCCTGTTTAATTAATCGCATAGTTTAATAATGTTCAAGCTGAATAATCTATAAATCTATAGATACTGGGACTTAAAATATGTATATATGTATATTTCAAGTCCCAGATCTATATAAAATCTAAAAATTGCATAGAAAATTTAATAATTTTTCTTATTTTTTGGTGAAATATCGGCATCAACCTTTTCAGTCGATTTGATACAATTGCTTTAAATAATATGGTGCTTTGGTTTATTCAGTTACACAGGTTAGTTAATACAGAATTACAAAATTTGACCCCCACCCCCCCCCCCCCCCAAAAAAAAAAACAAAAAAAAAACGTTTCGTGCCAATAAAATCGATCTATGCTCAAATGCAGATCGGACTGTATATACAGTAGAGCGATTCTGTTTTTCACTATTTTACTTTTTTTAATATCGCTTCTATCCTGTTGAGCCTTTTGTACAGTAAAACATTACTCAATGCTTTATATTAATGGTTTATTAATGAATAACTTCTTTTATTACCGAGTCATTTAATCTAGTTTCTTTACAACACCCGTGTTCAAAGTAAAACAGTAAAGAGTTAAACGTAAGGCGGAGTTAAATTGGTCATACTGAGAAGGTTGATAGCGTTTATATCTGAGTGAGTTGATATAAAGTTTTAACCACCTCCACCAAAAAAATAAAATAAAATTTTGTTTTATGTCTTAAACCATTATTGAATACAATTAAACTGTATATTTTTAGGTTAACTTTGAATTTAGCTTCGAGCTGAAATGGCTCATAACCGAGTTGTGGTAAGATACCAGAAAATTGTTAGATTTAGTTTATGTCGCGAAAATATGTTGCATTAAGAGCATGCTTTTTCTGCAGAAATTTATCATATTAAAGATTTAAAGCCTCTACACATATATCTGTATCACAGGGTGAGAAAAATTTGCAGCCTGACGGGGACTCCAACCCGGGACCTTCTGAATACTGTACCACGGCTCCACAGACTACCCCACTGCTTTAACATCCTCTCGCCTGAATAGTGAACAGTTCTGAACCTTGAGATACTCCTCCTCTATATTGAAATTCGTCCACAAATTTCTCAGCGTAACAGAGCAATGCTTAATATGAAAAAGGCAAAGCCTCAAAGCGAGCTCGATGTACTTTAAACGTGAAATAATATGAAATAATCGCTTTGTTTGTTTATTTTATTTCACTCTAGATTCTATAATTTTTCAAGCGAAATAAAGATTATAAAAAGTGAAATAAATGTAAAACTTAAAACGTTTGCGACATTAAAATAGCGTACTTGAATTTGATTGTTTTGCACGTGCTGTTTGGCGCTACATTGTGATGTCACGTAAACAATACTTTAAACGTCTGTACAGCGTTAACGACTGAATAAAAGATATTGGTGTTCGGATTCATTTTCTTAGTTAGACCATTTTCTTTCATTCTAGATAGTTTTCACAACAAAATTCGACAAAAAATTGTTTTTATTTGTCAGATTTTTCAAACAAAATGGCGCCTTCAATTTTCATTTTACATTTTCCGTTTTAAAACTGTCCTTCGATATTTTATACACAGCTTCCGTTATTCTGGTCCCCTGTCCAATTATGGTTCCCATAGACGTGCGCGGGTGACAAGTCTACACATCCGTTTTCAGTCAGAATTCCTCAGTTTTTATCGTTATCTTTAAATTCGAAAAGTTGCGATGTGTCCAATTCGGTACTTCGGACGAAAGTTTTCAAAACCATCACTTAGCAGGTACTCGCGTTACCGTAAAGCTCGCTTTGCGAGCAGGCCCTTCGAGCCAGCTCGTCGAGCTCGCTATGAAGCTCTGAGATATATGCAGTCACGTCCCATGTTGAGCGCCAAATGTCACAGGGTGAGAAAAATGTGCAACGTGACCGAAAAACGGTTTCCAATTATAACTTGAAAACCTATGGACTGTTGGCCCTCAAACTTTGTAGGCCCATTGGTCTTGGCAAGTAGATCATGAGATGACCCCTATTGATTTTAGGGTCAAGGGGTCAAGGTCATATTGACCTTGTAGGTAAAAACAGTTTCTGAACAATAACTTGACAACCCATGAACCCTTGGCCCTCAATCTGCATAGATGCATTTGTCTTGGCCAGTAGATGACCCCTATTGATTTTGGGTTCATGGGGTCAAAGGTTACTGTCACATTGACCTTGTATGTCAAAACATTTTCCTATAAATAGCTCAACAACCCTGTACCCTTGACCTTCAAACTTCACAATTGCTTTGCTTTTCATCAGAAGATTACCTCAATGGATTTTTGGGGTCAAGGGGTCAGAGGTCAAGATCACATTGACCTTATAGGTTAAAACGATATCTGTTGATATGTAACATAGCATTTCAAAATGCTTTTACAGTATCAATTATGAAAACATTAATTATTTCAATTTTTAAAAAATTTTTCCTTTTCTAAAAAAAAATTTTGTTTTTTGAAAAATATTTTTTTTTTTTAAATTTTCCCAAAATATCATGTAAAAAAAATAAATTTCCCCTAAAAAATTTAGTTAACCCAAAAATTTTTAGCACAAAAAAAATTTTTTTTTTGTTTTAGAAATGTTTAATTTTTAACCCAAAAACCCCCAATTTTGGGGGTTTTTTTTTTTTAAAAATCATTTTGTTTGGGAAAACAAAATCAAAATTTATCAAAAAAATTTTAAAAATTTTTGTTTATTTTTTTAGAATTAATTAAAGTTTTTTTAAATTTAAAAAAAAACTAAAGTCTTTTTTTAAATTTTTTTTCAAATTTTTTTTTTGAAAAAAAAAAAATTATTTTTAAAATTTTTATTTTTTTAAAATTTTTGGACATATTTAAATTTTTTTTTGATAAAAAAAAAAAAAATTTAAAAAACAAATACTTTTTTTTTTTAAAAGCACAAAAAAAATTTTTTTTAGGAAAAAAAATAAAACCCGTACCCCCCCAAAAACCCCAAATTCCTTCCTCATTACCCCTAATTCCCCAAAAAGCGAACCACCCCCATTTTACGAAATCTCAACAAAAAGGGCCTTTCCTTAAATTTCGGGGCTTGCTTTCCATATAAAACTATTTTTTGGGAAAGGTAAAATTCATTATTTTGTAAAATTTTTTCCCAAATTAAAAACCCATTGGCCTTGGTTTAAATTTTTTTTATTAAACAAAAATTTTTTTTTTTTGGATATCATTTAAGGTTAATGTTTTAAAAAAAGACTTATTAAATAAATTTTTTAAAAATTTTTAAATTTTTTAATTTTAAAAATTTTGTCAAAAAATTTGCAAAAATTTTAAAGGTCCAATGCCTGTGTTTATATGACCAGTAGACTGATTTTTTGGGCACAAGGGCAAAAAACAGTCACAATTACCTCCAATAATGACTTTTTTGGCTGTTTTAGGGGGTAAGTTTTACAAAAAATATCAGGTTAATTGAAAAAATAAGGGGTTTTTAAATTCATTGAAAAAAAATGCATATAGTAAAAGTTTAGCTATGTTTAGAATGGACAATTAGCTATTTAATTTGGAAAAAGTATCTGAAACATTTGCAAATCTTGCAGACTTGATTACCAAATATAACGGTAATTTTTACGCTGTCGGTCCAGGCACTTAATGTAGTAAATGAATGCCTGAAGGTAGATTTAGATTGTGCAGGCCAGTTGTAAAGTACAGTTTTTGTCACTTTTGCACAGCAAACCACAGGGGGTAACATGTAATCTTTTAATTGATCTAAATTATTGCCTATAATTGTTAGTTGGAAGAGTGCACATTTACCAATCGAAAGATTATTGTCACCATTACCTGTATATTGATCTACTGTCTAGGGTTAATCATTCTGTTATATAGTTAATATTTACTTGACAATAAGATGGCATAAAAATATAATAATTCAAATTTATTATATCTCCCTGAAAAGGAGATATTTATTTTTACTGTGACATAAATTGTCTCTGTGACGGAAGACGGACAATACCCCACACATCAAAACCCCACACCTTAAAATTTTATAGAGTGTACAAAACCCCACACCTAAAATGTATAGGTGGGCAAACCCCCCCTTCAAAATTTATAGGTGGGGTACCCCCATTTTTATTACTTTTATGATAGACTTTTATGACAAAAAAATAAGACTTTGTTTACACTTTAAAAAATTTTATTTTTTCTAAAAAAGATCAAAAAAATATGAAATATATGGTTTTTTAAAAAATAATTTTTGGTGTGGGTTATGTCCCTATATAAAATTGAAGGTGTGGGTTTTGTCCACTATATGAAATTCAGGTGTGGGGTTTTGTCCACTCTATGAAATTTTGAGGTGTGGGGTTTTGACATGTGGGGTTTTGTCCTACATTCCTCTGTGACAGTCATCTGATTTCTTGGAATGTGCCAGTCTGCCAGATATCTGGGATGTTTGTGCAATAATTTCTACGTTTTTTATAAAACTGGAATTTATAAGACTATCAGGGCCATAGTTGTGTAAAGTTGTTTTTACATAAAGCACCCTAAGACATGCTTATTAAAAACATGCAGGTGGTGACAAGAATCTATTGGTTAGAAATGTTTTCTTCTCCATTTATGTATACCTATGTGCACAGTTTTTAAGCAGGGACGAAGAACTTTTTTATGCCATCGCAATCTGTGATGCGGTGGCATATAGCGATTCACCTGTGTGTGTAACTGTGTGTGTTTGCCTGTTATATAGATTTTATAGTAACCTTAAAAATCTTCTTGAAAACCACTGGTCAGATTTCAACCAAACTGGCCAGGGTTGTTCCCAATAGGTGAAGGGCTTCCAACGTTGTTCAAAGAATTATTTGTGAATGAATATTTCCACTTTGTTTATTCTTGCATTATCCAGGCTCTTATTTTACTTTTAAGCACTGATTGTAGTTGTGCATGCTGTCTTATCAACAACAGCTGTTGTTTTTTATTCACTTGTTTTAGCATGGTCTTGACCTTGGTGTGTGATAAAATGTCAGCATTATCATCTTGTTCTACATGTTGATGTCTGATTAATAGTATTGGTATGTTATTTCAGCAATGGAATACAATGGCAAGGACATGGTGGCTGTTTGATGCCAAATATCAGTGTCCATTAAGATCAGCAGAAAAGATATGCATGTACCTAGAGGGTAGACATAAACCTGTTTACCATCCATTATGTGAGTATAACTTAATTTTACAAGTTCATTAGCAGATATGTAGTTAACAATTTCCTTTGAATTATGCGGAAAGTGGAAAAATATAGTTTTATCAAGTTTCTACAGTAAGGTTTTGGTTAACAATGGTCATCACTTATCTACCTGTTTGTGAAAATTGCTTACAAATTTTCACATGCTTGATATTTGGAATTCAAGAGACAGACAATAGATTTTTAATGTCTTTCTTGCTGGAAATAGACCACAACCATTCTTTATCATTTTCTATCTAACTTCTAGTAATATTAAAAAAAAATTCAAAATGAGACTTTTAACTGTTTTATGATTAATTGTAATTCCATTCACTATATAATATATTCAGTGTTTCTTTTGGAATAATTTGAAATTATTTGTAATTTATTGATGCAATCATTCTCTATACACAGCTGATGTTGGTGACCATGTTGTTGTGATAAATACGAGACATGTAGCTATGGTAGATGATCTGTGGAGAAAACATCATTATGAACATGACACTAGGTTAGCTTACATGTATTTATTATAATTACAGACAATGCAATGTATATTATGTTAACTGTTTATTCATAGTGACCATTATAAAAGGTTAATAATATCTGTCATATGTTGAGGTTCAGATTGGAATACCCTTCCGGAGGGGACCTGCCCATTGGGTGGTAACGATGCTTGCGAAGTTGCCCCTATGGGTGGGTACGCGAGTGACGGATATTCCCATACGAACCACAAACATACATCAGATAATTTTTTTTGCATATAATTCTACCATATTCTATCATAATTTAATTTCTTTAGCGCAATAAATAATTTTTTCATGGAAATTAATGCCATTTCATCAGTAACTATTTTCTTACAATAGCGTACAAATTTATAACGCAAAAATGATGTCATCCTAAGCATACAGTTTCATTCTTAAATAAGCTGAAATGACATCATTTTAATGCAGTTTATTGATAAAATGCACTAAAATGATGCAGTTGTATAGCATGCAACTCATCTGGCACTCCCCATGCTAGTTGAAACTTCCAGCATGGGCAAAATGAATGGAAACACCAGTCTGATATGCAAGAATAACTTGTTTTATTATAATGAGCTGACATTTATTATGATCAATCTCTATGTTTAGGACACAAGGTATCTTTTATTCAAAATATGATCATGATACAGTGAACTTTTGCAGATCAAATACATCGACTTAGCTCAGTTAGAAGAGTTTAACAATGATCAATTGTTGATTGACATTTGTTGGTGTAATTCTTATTTAGGTTAAGATATATCTTGGAGTTTGAGGCATAATTATCGGTATTTATCAGTGTAATAGTGTAAGGCAATTGATTGACTTGTCTCGGGTTTTTAACCAGGTTTTCCGAAGGAAAAAACTGATTATTAGATTGAGGTATGTCGGCCGGCGGGCGGACGGGCGGGCGTAAACAATTTCTTCTGTGCGCAACTCCTTCTACATTTCTCAACGGATTTTGACCAAACTTTCACAGAAGCTTTGTCATCAAGTGCCCTGGCGCATATTGTCGGGGTTTTGCGATTGGATAATATTTGACCTAATTATGGCCCTTTCTTTTTTTCCTTATATAGAATATATAGTGAACAATTTCTCTGTGCTGAACTCCTACATTTCTCAATGGATTTTGACCAAACTTTCACAGAAGCTTTGTCATCAAGTGAGGCATATTGTCGAGGTTTTGTGATTGGATAATATTTGAACTAATTATGGCCCTTTGTTTTTTTCCGTATACAGAATTATCAATATATATTGAACAAATTCTTCTGTGCTGAACTCCTCCTACATTTCTCAACGGATTTTGTTCAAACTTTCACAGAAGCTTTGTCATCAAGTGTCCTGGCGCATATTGTCGGGGTTTTGTGATTGGATAATTTTTTACCTAATTATGGCCCTTTGTTTTTTTTCCTTATACAGAATATATAGTGAACACTTCTTCTGTGGCAATTCCTCCTACATTATTCATGTTTTACATTGCACATAGTTACATTGTTTGTTGCTTGTATTTGTTTTTCAAATACAACATAATAATCTACAATGGTGATAATTGAAAACCTGGTTTCGTGGCATTGCCATGTTTCTTGTAGGTTTATTTATTGGTGTAAGATATGTTTAAGAACATACATGTATCTTGGTGTAAAAGTAGAAGATACATTATTCTTCTGCTATTATTTTACAGATATGCACGTGGAAAATCAAAAACTACAGCTTGGAAATTACATGAGGCTGATCCAACTAAAGTATGTTATTTAAACTATTTGAACTCTTTGAATATCATTATTAATGAATTAAAAACATAACCATATACAATTTAGACAGATATGTAATATTTCTAATAGGCCTATTTAATTAACTATTAAGCATTAGATATGTACATGTATTTGAGATTGTTTCAATCATAATAGTAAGTATTTTGGACAGAAATTGAGATCTTATTAGAAATAAGGTTGTGAAATAATGAAGTCAAGCCAATCAAAGACACAAAAACAAGTGCAAGGTACTCACGAGGTTTCCAGAACAGATTTATACCTTATACTTAAAATTATTTTGAAATGATGTTTCTTGTTTCTTTATATTTATATGCTGTTCTTTGTTGTACAAGGAAAGGGCACAATCTTGTACATCAGTAAAATAAATTCAATCCAAAAAAGAGCTGCCAAAATAATACTTAACAGGCCGATATGTTCACCAACATTAGATCTTTTTAATAAAATGAAATGGCTGAAATTTAATTTTAGGGTGAAATACCACACTGCATTATTATTTCAGGTCATATCTCATCTTTCGTACATGCGTATGATATGTAATATCTATGTAGTAATCTATTGCTAACATAATAATGATCAGCACATTTTTGTTCTGTTTCTAGCTACATGTATTTTATGTATCATGTTATTTTTTTATATTTTTAGATAATATATAAATCTGTATTCCGTGCTGGTCCTAAGAATTTATTACGTCCTAATCTGATGAGACGGTTACATTTATATCCTGATGAGGTATGTAACATCAACTTAAATATTATACATTGTTGTACAACTAAAATATTATACAATGTTGTACAACTAAAATATTATACAATGTTGTACAACTTAAATATTATACAATGTTGTACAACTAAAATACATGTATTATACAATGTTGTACAACTAAAATATTATACAATGTTGTACAACTAAAATATTATACAATGTTGTACAACTTAAATATTATACAATGTTGTACAACTTAAATATTATACATTGTTGTACAACTTAAATATTATACATTGTTGTACAACTTAAATATTATACATTGTTGTACAACTAAATATTATACATTGTTGTACAACTTAAATATTATACATTGTTGTACAACTTAAATATTATACATTGTTGTACAACTAAATATTATACATTGTTGTACAACTTAAATATTATACATTGTTGTACAACTTAAATATTATACATTGTTGTACAACTTAAATATTATACATTGTTGTACAACTTAAATATTATACATTGTTGTACAACTTAAATATTATACATTGTTGTACAACTTAAATATTATACATTGTTGTACAACTTAAATATTATACATTGTTGTACAACTAAATATTATACGTTGTTGTACAACTAAATATTATACATTGTTGTACAACTAAATATTATACATTGTTGTACAACTAAAATTTTAACTCACAAGAACTAGATTTGTAGGGTTAGTTTTAAGAATAGTTTAAAAAGACGGTCCTCAGTTTTTTTGTCAGTAGTGTCCTCATTTCTTTTGTCAACAGTAAAAAGAGCATTTGAAGTGAGTTTGAAACTCTACTGTTTATCCTTTAGGAAAGAAAGTTTATAAATGGGTGTTAGTCTTTCTTTTGTTTTTGTAGAGTTATCCCACTTAATTTTTGCTTTGACTACCATGAGGTGACTTGTTTATGTAACATTTTCAGGATGTTCCAGAAGATATTCTAGGAAATATAAGTGATGTAATAAGACAGATACAAGTGGTACCTAAAACATTTGAAGATTATACTGATGAAGAACGAGAAGCTTTTCCTAAACTATTTGACTGGTATGTTGTTAGTTAATCTATAAGTCATAATTTCAATCCATGTGCTATTTCTCAATTCTTCTGATGCTATATAATATCAAGCTATTATATCTACCTTTTATCGACTTTCTTATTATAGATATTGTCTATTTTAAATGTGTTACCCAGAAACACATTATGTTAAAAATTGTCATGTACAGTAAGCATTATGAGTTTCTGTTAATCTACATTGTCAACATTTTTGTCAAGGTTAAACAGGTATTGAATAATATCAGGCCTGATATTTTCACTGTCTAACTTTTACAACAACAAAAAGTTCTTTTAAATTAATATCATATATATTTAGTTATTTAACTCTTACACGACTGGAGATGATAAATGATAAGTCGAGGATATAAAGAAATTCTGTAAGCTCAAACTCAGATCTCAGTAATTTGGTTGGTCAAAAACTGCCACGGAATGTTCACTTACCAATGAAAATGATGAGATTTTAGGCAGAACTCGGAGAAAAAAGTTTGATAACCTTGAGGCTTTATGCTGAACACTGACTAGCTTCAAATGTTTATGTTGATATCCTTTAAAATGATAAGGACAGTTTTAAAAATGAAAGCTGAATAAACCAATTTAATAAATATAATAAGTAATGGGTTAATACACGTATTTATTTATTACCCTTCCAGATTTTTTCCGCCTTTTTGATTGGATATTGATCACCCAAAAGAAATTTGATATAACCGAGCCACACGGGTAATATACACACTAAATTTCCCCGTTGGGTACCCAACGTTGTAAAACAACATGCGCTGAGGTGATGCGCGTACGGTTCGATTTTACGCGGTAAAATCCGATTTTTAAAGCACTTTTTAATTGTTCAAATTGATAAAATATTTACCAAAGTAGTAATGAACATATTCTCATTCAAAGTTCTTTAAAACAAATTATGACCTTTGTTGAAAGCTTTGATTATTAATTAACAAAAAAAGTGCGTTCAATAGACTATCTCCTTTTTCTTCTTGTTTACATCGGTAACGGTACCCTAAATAAATTTAATTAGGTTAATTTTATTTCGACGGGTCATAAATGAATACAGTCCAATGATTTTTTAAAAAAATCGTAAGCTAAACTCGGTCAGGGAAGGGTAATAAAATTATTAAATTTGGTTTTGGAGTGATAATATGTGGATATATTACCTTTGAGCAAGATAAAAATATCACCCTCGCCTAACGGCTTATGGTTGATATTTAAAATGATTACCAGGTAATATATTTCCACATATATCACTCCAATAAACCAATAATAACTAATAATATTTAGAAAATTATTTTTTTTTCAAAAATTTTTGGTTGAAGCTAAATATTACTTATTTATCTAATGATATGTGAGATAAAGCTGCTTGAAATTTGTTTCATTAATATGATTTTTTTTTTGTACACAGGCCAGAAGATCATGTATTATTTAAACGTAAAACATTAGAAGAACAATTAAAAGAGATTGAGAAAGAACAACTAGCAGAAGAGGCAAAGAAAAAGAAATGAGAGATAATGTGTTCATTTTGTGTGGCTGCAGCTGGATAATTGTTTGTGATGTGAGAAACAGTACGGGGGTTACTTGAGTAAATATTATTGCTCTGACCCCTTTATTTAGCTATTTAACTAAAGTGATATGAAAGAAATTTTATATTGAGTGTTTTGCGATTGTTATTTTCAACAATTGAATAATAATAATAATAATGAAATAAAATTTACTTATTTTTAGCTTGAAGAATTTGAGCTATTATGATTGCTGTATTGGTGTTATTGTTGTTGTCATGCAAAAATATTAAAGTAGACTATAATTCAAAATTTAAAATTTATCAACATTAAACTTGGAATACTTGCTTATCATGATAATGCACACTTGTCAGACAAACGGTATAATTCTGAAAGCAACATTTTTTTTAGTTATGCCCCTCTTTAATTTAGAATTTTTGTCAAAATTCAAATTGGTTGCCCTTAACAGATGAGCACTAACACTGGAGGCGGTGTTCTTGTTTTAATATGATTATTCCCCTTTAACTGTCATTCCAAAATTGCCTACAAATAAGAAGTTGTAATACGATTTTCTCCAATAACTTGATGATATGCAATTAAGTTTGACATGCTGCACCATCAAGTTCACAGACTATCATACTTGCCCATTTCTTTCTTTTTGTCATGTGTGTAGAAAATGTTGTTTTTATATAGAAATATATGTCATTAAGACATCTTGATATCCTGCCCTGCTTGTTTAACCAAATGTGTTGGTACATGTGGTTTTGTCAGAATTCACATGCATTAATTTGTACACTTTAGGAAAACTGTCAGAAATGTTAGATATAAGTTCTGATAAGAAGTAATGAATACTGAAAACAAAAATTAATTAAATTCTTTGATAAATTTAACCTGATCAATACCTTCATATATTTAACAAAGAATTACCTCCATCATAGCAAGTTACGATTTTAAATGGTTCTCATCAAGATTTTAACACATTTATCTTGTTGGCGGGTCCACCTAATCGGTTTTATCGACTGATTATTCCTCGTGATTTCTGAATCAGTATTGTGAGTCAAATGTCCTCTAGAATCAATGTCAGAGAACAGTTATTGAAGTTTTAAGTTCAGTATGGAGTATTTTTTATGAAGTTCCCATATACATGTATAATGTTTACAACTAATAGTTTATCGAACTCTAAATGAAAGTTTATGTCTGAAAGTTATATAAATTATGAACATGCATATGAAAAATGCTGAAGAAGATTCATTGTAATAGACTTGATTTTTTTTGTTAAAAATATAGCATACCTTAAAACGTTATATCGTATATGTTCAGTATGGAGTATTTTAATGTGTAAAGTCTCACCGTATGTATTGTACATAACGTTAACAACCGCAGATGCATTCATATCTTTTTATAACTAAGTGAATTATTCGTTGATTTCATTGATAAAACTTAAAATTCCTTGAATAATTGTTTGCGCTTCAAATATCAATCTTTAACGACGACAACTTAAAGGCGTTTGCCATCGGCCACTCTGACAGACTCAATATATTTAGGTGCTTGATATCAGCCATTTCATATCAAAATACTCTACATTTGAAATTGACGAGTCTAAAGTCAAGATAGTAAGTTATGAATCAAAATACCGCGGGTAAATCAGGCCTCGACACTAACTTTTTCAGCAAGTGGTAAGCTGGACCACTAGATTTGAACTTTAGGTGGTCCTTCAAGAAGTAAGGTGGTCAGTTATTCTTATTGTAACATTTTACTGCAAATTTAGAAAAAAATATATGCTTAAAATTGATGAAAAAGATGTATTATTGACCTTTAAAGAAAACAGGTATCTTCAGACATATATATTTTTATCTAATCAGAAATTAAGGAGAGCAAGTTAGTAGGTACTCTATTGTAATGTTATTTGGTTTTTATTTTTATCTCATTCAAAAATACACAACAGGGCTCTTATTTATGTTAATTCTTATATTTCTCCCTCAACTCAAGTTAGGGAATAGTGAAATCATTTGTGTCTGTTATTCAAATATTCATTCCTGATACATGGTACGTCTTATTATCATGATAATTACATGTATCTTCTATAGATAACATTTTAAGAAAACTGATAAATAAAAAATCTTATTCTTGTTTTTGAAAGGAAATATCTAAAGGATAGAAATAATGACAATATAACTATAGTTTAGTTTATTTTTCTGACTGATTCATTATGATTACAGATTTTTTTACCTTGTTGACATTTATTTTTGACATTGAGTAATTTTTAACTTTAAAAGTAATTTTATCTCTGGAAGAAATAGATCTATTATCGTAAAACAGTTAGAATAAAGATAAGTAGCAACAAATTATTAGATGTATTTTTTCAAGTTCCTTTCGTTTGCTGTCATTATTCAAGTATCTGAAATTTAATTTTATCTGATATCCTATTATAATTACCGTCGTGGGTATCCGACGATGCATAATTACTAACATCATTTGAATGAATTTCGTACCTAAAATATTATTATCACAAATTCTTAACTCTTTTAACTTGCAAAAACAAAATTTGAATGACTTAAAATGAAAGTTATTGATGATTTAAGAACGTCTTTAACTAATCAGAGATTAATGAACTATATACATGTACCTCGAACAAATGATTTTAAAAATGTATATAACATGTTTTTGACACAAATCGCCATTCTCCCAGATTAAAGTGGTCCGACGGACCAGTGGCTTTTAAAATTAGGTGGTCCTTGCCAAAATCAGGTGGTCTCGGACCAACGGACCACCGCTAATGTCGAGGCCTGTAAATGGTTATATATCTGGCTAATAGTAGGAATATTTGAATGTCATTAATCAGTTTGACATGAAAGGCATGTTATACACGGACATTGATTTCTACTGAACAACAAGATTTACTATATACCGGGATGACTGTCTTCTATCTGCATGGTGTACAATCAACTGATTGTTCTATATCCAGTAATTAAAATCAATGGACATTATATGACATTTAATATGATAAAAAGCATTCCATCTAATTTTATTTTATTTTTTTGGTTTGAAAAACGAAACTTTTGTCCGCAATGATGTATGATTAAAACTTGAAAGCTTATTTTGGACAAATTATTTTAAATAAAATGGGATGAACTGAACCTGTCTGTGCTAGTATTTAGCATGTTCAAACTAGATACTGAGGAAGAATCATGTGGACACACTTCTAAAAAAAACCAGCTTAATTCCTATATTTTTAAAGTTGGAATTTGCTTATCAGTATTACATAGGGATGTGGCTAATGAATTTGGAAACGCCAAAATTTCAAAGTTCCCTTAACAGAAATCGGGTACTTGCCTATTTCAACTATTTTAGCTATGTTTTGGGTCCCAAGGATTGTTTGCAAATTTCATGTATATTCACTCAATCTATTTTGTAAAAGCTCGGTACTTGTCCTCAATGTGACAGTATTGGTTAGAATACAAATAGCTGGTATAAACTGAGAATATACCTATAAATTATGGCTTCTCGAAATGAAAGTTACCCATTATTTTTGATTTTTTTTTTTAATTTTAACTATTACTTTATTATACAGTTTGTATAATTAAAATTATTTCGAGTCTGTATATTATTGTTTATGATGTGTATAAAACACATTCCTTCAAGGATAATTCTATTTTCTTTCGGTATATATAATGTATTCTATGGTCATTATTAAGTAGGACATCGAACGATCTTTCTATTACTGATTTCAATCTGGTATCCAAAATGTCACTTAAAATGATCTCTTTTCAATTATTTCCATATTCTGGCAAAGAAAACAATTTCTAAATTGTACAATGTTTGACAAATTACGAGTATAGGAAAATCGACAACTTGATTTAATTTGGAATATATTTGGCTAACATGATATCTTAATGATATCTACTTAATAATAATAGTCCTAATAGGTCTATATTATCAGTGTAAAAGCGGTATATGAAATGGACTTGATAACCACATGAGGTATGGTTGTGTGCAAAGCTTATCATTTTGTCTGTCTGTATGTATTTAACAGGTCTCTGATATATTGGTAATTTGCTATATGTGTTTTGTTGTCAAACTAAGTTGAACATTTAAATTCCCTTTTGTTGTATCAAAAGAATTTGGCAAACATGCATTTAAATGCTGCGAGTATATTTACCAGGTGACGTAAGGCTACAATAAGCAGAAATATCATATGATACCCGGTATGCAGCACGTATAGGCCTAATAGAAAAAGTTAAATTTGTTAAACCTTGCGTAATCTTGCAAAATTGTTTCAGAGGTATTCTATCTATGAGCATTCTTATCATCAAAGAATCAATTTTCTTGAGATATAATCGGACTTACAATAAGATTTCTAATGATAAACTGAAATTTAGAAAATTATAAAGAACAATCTTGTAATTTTGAAAAAATTGATATTTCATATTCATAGCGAATATGCCAAACTAGATAACACGCAACATGTATTTCTGTATATATTTAATTTTGTGGTCAAGTCGAATCACTTTACTTTAACTTTGATGTTAGATGTCCGGCCTGAATTTTCTTATCCTAATTATTATTGGGTTATTATCGATATCTTTGTCCGAGTGGTGATTTTGGTCGTTGACTTTAAACTACCTGCCCCTCACCGCCGTGTGTTCGAATCCTGCCAGGGACTTAATATTTCATGTGAGGAAGTTATTCAGCTGGATTGCAGTCTGTCGGCGGTTCTACTCAGATGCCCGTTCGTGCGTGAAATAATTCACGGGGGCACTTGAGGTCTTCGCCCACCAGTATAGCTGGAAAGACTTACATATGGCTTCCACTGTGTGGGTGCGAACAAAAAAAAAGAAACGGGTTGCAAAGAACTGGCTGCCTTAATTGATTAAATGAAGACATTGTATTTACATCCAGTTATAATGCAGCATAATATTATATGTTCCAGATCAGCGTAGTTTTAGTTACTTACGTCTACAGAACACAGTGTTCAACCAGCAACATCCATTATAAAGTAAAGCAATATCTAAATTCTCAAATATAACAGGAAATGTGCAAGTCTTATCAGTATACGTTCAGATCAATTTTTCATTTATTCTGAAATTTTATTTTTTTCATTCCGATCTATTGGTTGTTACACCAGCGTCTGATTTTAAACTTGATATTCATAATGTGTTTGTATTGATCAACGGAAGAAACATGATTTTATTGTGGTGTAAATATCCCTGTCAATAGCAAAGACCATTTTCCCAATGGTCGGAGATA